GRAAAWWARGKRWTKRARKTWTTTTTTTTTTTCAATTTATCGAAAATTTCTAAAATACCCTAAAAACTCCACTTTGGCCATTTTCGCATCCATCCCTTCAAGTGCTGAAGTTGACAATTGGTACTCTCATGTTAATTTCAGTAATCAATGCTTTGGCCTCTGGGTGTTAGTAGTCATTTTTGGAAGCCTACATTTGCTTCTAGGGCCGTCTAAGCAAAATGGCACTGCATTTGGTGCTGTAATAGTAATGTTGATATTTGTCTATATTAAAGTGCCTATGATGCCTGACAAAAAAAATTCTGATTCTTTGTGAGCTGATTCTATATAAAATAAATAATTGAATGGTGAAATATTCGTACATTTCAGTGCTGCGTCTTTGAGTTATGAAGGTTCAATCTTACAATATGTTAATGAAAATGACGTCAAAGAAGGCTTCATTAGATATACAAACTTTGCAGTAGTCGCTTAAAAGTGGTTTCATGGCATTAAATTTATCGTATGCAATGTAGGGAATAACCATATTACCAGATGGCGTTCATGAAAACATTTTTGAGTTTCAAAGTTCGTATATTTAATGAAGCCTCCCTTGACGTCATTATCATTAGCATATTGGAAGATTAAACCTTCAAAACTCAAAGACGCAACACTGAAATGCAGAAATATTTCACCATTCAATTATTTACTTAATATAGAATCAGCTCACAGAGAATCAGAAATTTTTTTGTCAGGCGTCACAGGCACTTTAAATGGGCTATTATGTGAGATTATGTGCTCTTTATGAATTTCTGTGCACCTATTAGTCAAGAATGTCTGGTTTTTCCATGACTGATTCAAAAAATGGTGGACAKGTTATATTGAATAATCAAAACCTAAATAATTTACTCATTTGTTATTCAGAGGTTGTTGCTACTTCTGATCCAAGACAAGCATTTGATAACATTGATGTTGCTATTCTGGTTGGTGCAATGCCAAGAAAAGAGGGCATGGAGAGGAAAGATTTGTTGAAAGCAAATGCGAAAATCTTTGTTGAACAAGGAAAGGTTCTTGATCAAGTTGCAAAGAAAACTGTCAAGGTACCATGTGCTCCACATCTTAAGAGCCGCTTCGCGCAAAAACCAGACAAAACTGAAAATCAACGAAATAAATAAGAAAGAGTTACTTAGAAAGCCACAATTTAAATTTTTGAAATTACTATTTTACATTTCACACAAGCTCGGTAGAAAGTTTGGCTATTTTGAGTGCTATTTTTAGCCATCAAACATTTGTCACGCAAAGGCCCAGTATGTGACATTGTTTAGCGATTTTCTTGCGTAAAATGAAATATTTTCAAAAACCAATTACACAGCGATTGTTACCTAATCATACCTTATCAATATACAATATATGAATAGATTTGATTTTTCGAGCCTTGCCAAGATATGTCTGATTTTTGCGCGAAGTGACTCTTAAACATTATCATAGTTGTGTATCAATTCGCCATTGCAAAAAAAGTTAGTGTACTGAGCCTTGACTTACCCATCAAATCTAAAATATCACTTAACAATTGTTATAGTACTTACATTCAGAGAAAACGTTATATCAATTCTTTACAATCAATCAATCTCACTTTCATGTGATGTATTTTAGCTGTCAAACATATCAAATTAACAAACCAATAAGGGCTCATCACATATAACAGATCACTCGGAGACTCCAATGTGTGATTGGTTCTCTAAAATATAGCATGAAAGTGAGATTGCATACGTCTGAGATCAGAGGCTTGGTGTAAAAACAAACCAATTAACTGAAAACGTCTCGCTGCTTCGCATAGTAAGCAAAAGAAATAAAAGACAAGCCTCTGGAACCAGAGTGATTGTTTCAAAGTTTGTAGTATAGTTTAAAACACAATCTCGAGTGTTTTAAACGGCTTTTAAAAAACTCATACATAATTAATGAGCTACTAGGCCAATAGAATGAGCCTATTTGGTCACATGCATGGACCTTTATATCTGATAAAACACTCCTTATTAGTATTCTTTATATAAAGAATACTAATAAGGGTGACCTTTACCAGATATAAAGGTCCATGACCCTATCAAAGGTCTCAGGTTTGAAACCTGATCATTGACCAATGCAGGATGTCAACCGATTTCAGTGAACAGCCAAGAGCGGTTCTATTTTACTTTATGCGTATTTTTAAAATGTGGGATGACAAGAGTGCTTTGTAGAGTGATTCGCGCATGATCAGTTTGCCCCATTTATCTCTGAACATATTTGCATGGCAATTTCTCCAAGAATTTTAACGGATTTGAGTTTCAAATTAGTGTTGGAGTTTTTTTGTCTAATAAAGCCTGCCTTGATGTCATTATCATTAGGATATAATTGTAAAATTGAAGCCTCAAAACTCAAAGACGCAGCACAGAAATGCAGGAATATTTCACCATTCAATTATTTACTTTATATAGAATCAGTTCACAGAGAATCGGCAATTATTGTATCAGGTGTCATAGGCACTGCCGTATCTTTAAAAATGAACAGTGAAATTTCTGTTCAGTTCCTATACTGAGTAAAAATGAGGGGTTCCATATTTGTTAATAAGTTGCAAAGTGTCGAAAGGGAGTGATGTTTCTGGTTTATGCATGGTCAAAGAGTGA